CCTCGCTGCTACGTACCTCTGGGAACTGGTGTAGCTGAAAACTACACACAACTTGAGTGTCATGAAACAGACTGCCCAAAACACTCACTGCACACATCTGCAGAAGTCAGTGGCAGTGGGTTACAGGAGAAAATGGTTAACCATTGAGAAGATGTTGCACAGACTGTGACTGTAAACCATTTTTGGGTGCACAGCACTTGGAAGGTCCCATCAATCTGCCTTCCCCTTGGTGGCCTGTCTCTGGAAGCTCCCTCAGGGAGAAAGGATGGTGAGTTTTGCCTGAATCCTCATTACTGACCAAAACTCCTGCAGAAACAGGGAGTAGGTCACAGAAGCCTTCAATGAAAATACCTCAGTTATTCCTGTGAGTTCGCAGTGGTCAGCACAGAGGTGGGAAAAGGCTTCAAAGCCACGCTGAGATCTGAGGGCTCTGTTGGTGGCTGTTGCAGGAGCAAGCCAAAGAGCAGCACAGTGCTGAGCATTTTGCATTGGGATTGAAGAGAGGAGGCTTCATCCCTGCATTGCTGCAGGAATGGTGGAAGTGCCATCCAGACTGAAGGAGTGGGCAGCCCAACAAGAGCAGGGTGGGGAGCATACCTGGGAAGCAACAAGCCCAGAGAGCTATAGTGGGTCAGGACTCTGGCGGTGGGTGGTGTGTCATGGTGGTGTGGTGCCCGGTGGCCTTAATCCTTTCAGCTGTGGCCTGGCTTTCCCAGTGTGGTTCAGTGGGGATTGCTCTTGAAATAGCAGGTGCAGATTACCTCTGTGTCTGGCATGGAGGAGCTATCACTGCAGACAAGATTATTTCGAAGTGAAGGAACTGTAAATGTTTAATTACGGATACAAGCCTGCCTGGGCTGCAGCAGGCTTTTTTATTTTTATTTTTAATTTTGATAATTTTGGTTTGTTGGCTCTCAAAATGGTTACCTGCAGTTTTACATAACCTCACTGTCGTAGTTTGAGCCTGGTCAGCAGCCAACCACCACGCAGCAGCTCGCTCTCCCTTCTCTTCCGGCAATGAGAAGGGACAGAGAGCCAGGCTTGGGGCTCGAGATAGGACTGGGATGGGGAAAAAAATCACCCTTTATGGTCATGAGCAAAAGGCAGACTAGTTAGGGGAAGAAAAAAGGAACATACATTTATTACAGACACTAACAACACATAACAGAGTAGCACAGTGAGAAGCATTGCCACATCTTGAGAACACCTTCTCCCCACCCCTCCCTTCTTCCCAGGCTCAGTTCTGCTCCCAATATCTCTACCTCCTCCCCCAGTGGCGCAGGGGCAGGAAATGGGGGGTGCAGTCAGTGCTGCCACTTTCTCCATCTTCAGTGGGGGAAGCTTCTGGAACTTCTTCCCCCTGCTCCATTGTGGTCTCCCTCTCACAGCAGACAGTCCTCCACAAACTTTCTCCAACATGAGTTCCTCCCATGGGCCGCAGCGTTCCCCACACTGCTCCGTTGTGGGTCACTAACTTCCTCCGACTGGATTCCCTCCCACGGGCTGCAGCCCTTCCCGAGCTGCTCTGGCGTGGGACTCCCCCGCATGCTGCAATCCTCCCAGCGCTGAATTACAGCAGCGGGGCTACATTTTCCCACAAGACCCCGGCCTTCTTCGGGCACAGAACCTTGATCATGCAAGCAGAAGCCACAGGCCATAAATCAATGTCTGCTCCACCATAGATCTTCATGGGTGGCAGGGGGGGCCATCCTGCCGTCTCACCACAGGATACAGGGGGGTCTCTGCTCCGGCACACCTCCCCCCTCCTTTCTTCCTCCGTTCCTCCACTGACCTTGGTGTTCACGCAGCTGCAGCAACTCCTCCTCACAAGTCCCACTGCCCATCACCACATCCCTTCTTAAATACGTTATCGCAGAGGCGCAGCTGATTGGCTCAGTTTCCCAAACAGAAGTGGAGCTGAATTGGAGCTGGGGGAGATTCGAGAAGCTTCTCACAGGGGGCTGCCCCGATAGCCCCCTCCCCTGCCATGAAAAAACTCCACCACTCACTCAAACCCAGGACACTCATTAATCAATGTTAATATGAGTAACATAGTAATGAGTCTGCTTTCTCACAGAGCAGAGTTTTTGCTTACAGAGAAGATGGGAAGCAGCCTTCTCCCAGCAGTTATTGCATTTTAGCTGATATCTCATTACCTGACATAAACAGATCCATGTGCTTCACTTCATCTTAAACTGCTGATTACCAGATAGAGGCATATCCTGCTGCCAGAGACCAACAGGGGAAAGGTAATTACAGCTGTGCTTGATCTCAGCTGTCAAAGGCTGGAAGGGTGATACTCAGTGTGCAAACACACAGCAAAGAAATAGGGAGGGGCTCAGATTTTATCCTGTCAGCACTCCCGCAACACACACTGTCCCTGCAACTAAAAGCAAACCCAAACCTTTTAGGTTAGTTCTTTTTTAACCTCCAGATCAGTAGGATCTGTTCTTCTCAGCACGAAGAGTTTTCAGTGTTTTATTCCAGTACAAAGTTAATTGAAAGCACTGCTATTTTGATGTCCTATTATTTTATATTCAGTTCACCCATTTGGATAAGTGTATTTGACCATGTGGAGATCAAGAATGGAGAATTGGAATCAGTTCTTCCATCACTTTTTCCTTCTGAGCCCAAAATTTTTGCCTGCAGACAAAGATTTTGTGGGCCAGCTGTTCACTGCTGAAGGCACAGAGGAGAATGATGGGCAGCAAAGATTTCTGCAGATGGGATTCTGTGCAAAAGACTGGAAATAAAAGAAGAAAGTCTGAACTCTTTTATTATTATTTTGGACCAAAAAATGTGTATCAACAAACCAGTAGAGCAGTGATGGGTAGGAACCAGGTGGACTCTATTAATAAGCATGGAAGGGAGTCTTTCTTCTTTCTAATAGCTGCCAAGAAACATGCTTGTTTCAGCTTTTGCATTGGATGATAGATGGGGGCTTTGAAGCCCAAAAGTCTTTGGTTTTACTCCTCCTCCCTTTGGGACATGGGTGCTGTGGATAGTCATTACTCATGTTGGAAACATTTGCCACAGGAAGCTCCTGGAACAGAGTTTGGAAAGCCATGAAAGCCCTAATGGCAGCTGAAAACAGTGCTGCCCCAGCATTTGCTGAATCAAATTATTAAGTGCCAAGTTAAATTAATGTTTGTCTCTGAGTCATTCCCAATTTTACATAGTCCAGGGTTTTCAAAATCCCTTCCTACCGAGAAAATACTCTCCACTTGAAAAAGAAACCCCATTCTGGTGGCAGCAGCTTACAAAATCTGGAACTGTGTTTTCAGAAGTCTTCCTTCACTCTCCAATAAATTCCTTTCCCTCTTTCCTTGTCGAGTGAAATAACTGGAATATTTGCATTTCATAAAAATCAGGATTTTCAGTAGTCATAAAGCATGGGCTAACAAGCGTCTTCTGCAAGTCTATTTATTTAATTAATATTTATACACTAAAATAAGGCTCAAGAGATAATTTATGAAGTGCTATTCAATGTTCCTGAATACCTGGCATGAGAATCCAAGATTTCACTGAAAGTTAATTAAGAGTACTGCCATTAAATCTTCAAAATAAGAGCAATAAATACAACAAAAGCATGAAGCCAGAAGACACGGATGTCTTTTGGAGTGCACCATTCCCCCCTGAAAATTAAGCCTGGGTGATATTTGTGGATCTTTAACTTCAGAGACTACCTTTTGGAAGAATGAAACCTTCAACACTATCCCAACATGCTGCCAGTGCTCCCCATTCCCTCACATCGCATCCTTGGACATACAACATCAGCCTCATGCTCTAAAAACATCCACTGTAGCACCCTGCACCACAACCCTCACATTTCATCAGGCAACTGAACAGGAAGGAAACATTTTTAAAAAAGAAAAAAAGTGGGATAATTTAGGGCCACAGTGCACCTGAGAGCTGACAGAGGACGCCCAGCCAAACGTTAATCAGGGTGGTCAGCCTTGAGCAACTTGAGCATGAGCCAGTCCATCACACTGTGGGGCCAGGGATCATTCCCTGGGACTGATGCCTTCAGTCATGTTGTAGCCATGTACTGGTGAGGTGTTTCTCACAGGCCAAGGAGCTACTTGCTCTTGGGAAGGCTGGGTGTGCGTGTGGATGTGTATGCATTTGCAGAATGGCATTCTGCAGTTGTAGCTTTCTAGAGGATACTAGTGGGTGGTTCAAAAAATACAATAAGGATATTGTTATACCTATATAATTTTATTCGTTTAGTCTGAAATAAGCCCCTGGTAAATTTATATTTACTTGGCAGTGAAGATATAAAACTTGGTTTGGCAGTTGCATTTAGGAAAACACTGGGAACTCAAGGGAAAAAATATCACCTGGCTGAGTAGGTTGAACTAATGCTGAGAAATGGGGCTCTCTGAATCTGAATTCAATCCAGTTTTTCAGAGTTACTCACCCAGTCTCCTTCCACCATTTGGCTAACTGACAGAAATTCAATATTTTTCTTTTAGTGAATGAAAAGCATAGTCAGAAACAGCCATTGGGTCAGGATCATATGCTAAAGCTCCTCTTGTGCTTTTGTTTCCTAATTGCTCTTGGAAGGATTTTTCAGACTGGGCTGACGCAGTTGTGTGTGTGAATTTCCTGGCAAATAAGGAAGGTGACTGTGTCCAAAAGACATTTAAGAGTGTGAATTCACAGCCTTTCCATGTCTAATCAAGGAGCGTAAACCATTAGCCACATGTTCTCCATTTCCATTACATTTTTTCACACTTAAACAAAAACATGCCAAAGAAAAGGTGCTACATTTTTTAATGCCCCCAAATAGGAACCACGGGAGTCCGTTAAATGCTGTGGTCATTTCCAGCATACAAATCAATTTTCCTTGTGGTAGTGAATAATGCCTGGTTTGTTTAAAGGAGCATGACTGATTTTGGATGAAGGATCCTGTCACTTTGGCATTTTTAGTTTTATTTATTGCACGCAACCGTATAAAACCTGGTACTAGTCTCAGTGCCAGGTTTACTAGTGGAAAAGCTGAAAGGACCATATAACTACTGGTGCAGCAAAGAGGTTCTCCTTCTGTAAGACATTTGCTGGACTCCTGCAAAATTATTTTGAATAACATGGCAGAGAAGGATTTCATCAGTTGGCATCTACTGGCTTTATTTTTTCTTCCATTTTGCCTGTGTCAAGATGAATACATGGAGGTGAGCAGAAGATCTTATAAACCAGTGGCCAAAGTATTGCAAAGTCACCACCAGACTGGCCATAAAGGTTCCAGAAGCAGGGAAATATTGAAACAGCGGAGTCAACTTATAGAGTGGACTGTTGATAATAGCACTTCTACAGACCAAAAAGTCCTGAGACCAGAGGTAGATGATGTAGAACTGACTACCTCAGATAGAGTCCAGGTACTCTGAATTAATCTTTTAAAGATATCTTTAAAGCTACTGAGATTTTAATTTTTTGTGTTAAGTTTATTAGTGATATATATATGAAATTATTTTTATTAAAGCTGTATATTGGTCTGTATCCTGCTGGGTTGCTTTGTAGGATCTTTTAACGAGCTGGTAGAACCAGCAGTGGTTGGGGACACTGATTTCTACATAGACAACAGCCCTGTGGTTTACTGAAACTGTGGTCCTGTGCAATCCTACATTCTGATACATAGTCTCTTAACTATTTCAAGGCATTACTTATTTAATATACTAAAGTTTTATATTCTGTTAATTCATTTGGATGTGAAGGAAAATTACAGAATTTATAGAGATATTTGGAAAGATTCAATTAGCAGAAAATAACTTTACTTGAAAATTATATACATAAGGTATATTTTTTGAGCTTGAGACAAACATAATGAAATTCTGAATGTTCAAAAAATTTATTCCAAGGAATAGCTTGAAGAAAAGAGATAATAATGTAATGAGTAGATCTAATAATATATATCAACTTGACAGTTTCAGAGGAAAAAAGGCTCAAAATGAAACTAAATATGTAGTATCTGCATTTGAAACTGTGAATCTTTTAATGCCTTTTATATGGCATTTTAGATATTAGATTTAATAGCTCACAGCAAAGGGAAAATGGCACAACTTGATTATACATAAAATATTGTGGTCCAAATTTAAAAGGAAAAATCTGAAGGGCAGAAGATGAAGCTTTTTCTAGCAGTACGCAAAACAAAATTCCACTCAAATTAAGTTTTTATTGATTGATGTTTCTTAGAAACAACAAAAACATGAATGTTTTATTCCTATTGCTGATACAAATGTTTAAGTCCTGTATAGTTCACCATTTATCATTTGTTTTTTAAAACTCTTTCTGATCAAACTGTGATATTTTGAATTCAAAATATTATGGACATGCCGACAAATGTTGAATAGTAACCTACTTCACAATAAGCAGAGAATAGATTTGATTTTAGTCCTGTCCTAGGCTTGAAGAACTGAAACACACCCAAGTATAGAAATAGGTTTAATACGCCACTATATTCCCTGTATTTAAATTGTGTAGTTCTTTGCATTTAATATTTCTTGGGCAGTAGTTATATTTTTTTCAGTGCACTCAGCAAAACAGTTATTTGATTGTAAGTATGTTAAACTGCACTTGCGGTATACAAACTGTAAACCATCAGGTATATAGTCCAATGAGCCAGCTAGTGTGTGTATACCTTTCTACTGCAGAGAGAATTGTGCAGCTGCATACTATATGTATTATTGGTACTTAAATAGTATTTCTCTTTAACTCAACATAATTTCAGATAATGCAGGATTTAATACAAAATTACAACTTTTTGAGGGGTCTAGCTCTCCCTTACAGAAAGTGTCGCTGTGTTTGGGGTGCATGTGTCTCTCACCAGAGTTTTATGCAAGATGTTTGGAGGTACCTGCTGGGGTAAGAGGCTGTGACATTAAAACTGAGCCCAGCAAGTCTGAGTACAGCTGATGGCAGTCATTTACCTGCCAGACACCCTCTAGAAGCAATCTTTGCTGTGGAAATGATGCAATTTTTGGCTTACTGAAATGAAATGGAGCACTAGCAGGTGCATGACAGGGATAATCCATCACAGAGTGGCTGACGTAATAGGTATTTTCCATCTCCAGACTCCAGGGATTTCCAGCCAGAGGAGGAGCAAAGGTGGCACAGACATGTTTTAATTCATGTCAAACCTCTTTCTTCCCCTTGAGCTCTCTGAAAGCTGTTTTATCTCTCAGTCTCTACTTTCTTAGTTGTCTTAGCTCTGGCTGGAGAATTTTACACTCCTGCTAAAGTGTTTTAACAGTCCCATTCCCTGTCATGGAATAGAGACAATAGCATTTGTCTTTGCTGTATTGGGTGCAAGGTCAGTTTACACACTGCTGGTAACTTACATAAATATAATGTTCATTTCTCAAGCTCAAGAACTCTTAGTGACTGGGGAAAGCCATGCCAGACACAATCTTCCTTTTCAGGTTGCTCTTTGAAAACCTCAGGTGTCCCTCAACCTCCTGGTGTTTTACCCTGAATTTCGGCAATTTTAGTTTGTTTAATTCTTTGCTAGAGAAGAGGCATGCAGGACCTTAGTGCCCATATACACATACATGCTATTTTGCATTCAGAACAGGAGCCAAGAATGGTGGATGTATATTACTTGTCTTCTGCGCTGTCTTAGACAATATAACAGAAACCCATGAAATTAATCAGGGAGTGAAAAAGGGCTGGGTCTCCAGTTATGATTCATTCACAGCTTTAACTTGAGGGAATTTTATAGAACATCTTTTGCCTTGAACTGCCTCCTACATACTAAATCATAGGGAATTCAGCAAATAGCCTCAGAAATATTTCCAGTTTTCTATCTGTTATTAGGATATCAATGTGGCAGATGCATTTCACAAGGTCCTAAATCATGTTCATGTTCTGAGAGCAATGCCAAAGATTCATTGTGCAATAAAATTTATGTGTAAATGGTTGCATAGGACACCTTGCCAACTAGGTTGTAATTAATCTCTGTGTCCCATTTGAGTGTAATTTTACTCTAGGAACAGGTTCTTCCTTTAAATGTAGTCTTCATGAAGTTGTCTGTTTTTAGAGATTAAAAAAGTATCCTGAATATTCATTGTTCTTGGCAGCTGACTGTGAACACTTTGTTCCTCCTAGTCAAAGGATGAGTAAAGATAGCAAGTCAATACTACTTTATGACTTGCTTAAGTAGTTATTTTGAAGTCAGTGGAACTGTTGTCATACAACCAGGCTGGCAGGACTTGCCTCATTTCACATGTAATAACCTGTTGACATTTTTGAGAGGTAATGCCAAATAGCATTTGGTTATGACCAGCACTAGGATCTATTTTATGATAACATAGTTAGTTAGCTAATAATGTTGTTCAGGATTTCAGTGCACTGGGTAAAAAAGCAAATCGTACCTGCACAGAGAGAGTCTCACATGCAGTCCAGTTTGCTGGATTCATGCCTTCCCTTACCTACAATCCACAGTTCTAAGTGTTGGGATATTTCTAGGCTGATAGGAGCTATTTGCTCTTGGCAAGTGTGTATATAGTTTGCCTTCTCATCTAACATGAATATGAAGGACTATCAAAAAAGACCCGGAGATTTTAATCTTGATGCAACACTCAACGTTAGCATTTAATGTGGTGCAAAATGCTTGTGCAATTCTAGTCCTCTTGTACTTGGCTCCCCTTTAAGGACTGAAAATGAGCTGAAAGCAGGGCTACTTCTTCTCTGATATTAGGAAAGCTTTAAACAGCATGTTTAGTGACTGTCAACTATGTTCTTCCTAACAACTGAGAGAGATAAAACATCAAGAAAAATACAAACAGGTTCTTCAGGAACAGACAGTCCAAAAGGCAGAAATATTTTTTTTCATAAAGTATAGACCTTATCCAAAATCAAGGTAAAAAGCATAGTATTGACCAAAACTCCATGAATATTCTGCCCGTTGATAAGTCTTACCATTTCCATAACTTTGAATAAGAAGCACATTTTTTGAACTGTCAGGTCAGCCTTTATTCCCATGGTATCTTTGTTGGTGGTTCCAGCTGAAGAGGGCATGTGTCTACACCATTGGATGAGTTGCAGTATTTTGGTGGCATGAAAGGGGTTTCCTGTATCCATAAACATAAACTCCCAAAGCCTCTTGAAATTAATGAGTTCTGGAGGTATGCTTGGTATTGTTCAAAACACAGGCAGAAAGCTTCAGTTCTTCAGATTAAGCCATCTGATGAACTTGGGGGAGGAATACAGAACATCTCTATGTTCATGTGGCAGCTCCCATTCCACCAGAGGCTCATTTGCTGCCATTAAACCAAGAGGTCCGCATTAGGAAAGCAGTTTGAGGATGATAAAGGTGAAAAGGAAAGGAAGACAAATAGTAGAATGATTAGAGAAAAGTAGTAGACTGGTGTAACTATCCCCCTCCAGAATTGAAGAACTGCAGATTTGTACCTCAGGATAATAGCAAAGAATTGTAGGAAAAAAAAAAAAAAATAAATAAAGAGGTAGAAATGAGAAGGAAGTAAAAAAAATAAAATAAAACCCTGGAGCTCTACCTCAGCTGACCCATTGGAAAATTTGTGACTGCTATATCATCGCAAGAGCCTAGTTACAAAAACCAGCCAGGATTGAATGAGACTCCATTAGTATAAATACAGTAATATGGGAAAGAAAAGCACTGAAACAAGACTATCATCAAACTATTACTACAGTAGCTGAGCTGTGTATAATAAACCAATTTGTTTATTTATGCTGCTATATTAGTTTCAGCATATAAACAGGTTTTCATAGTCACACACACACAACCACAAATAGTCAAATGCCCCTAACACTAGGTGCTGTGGGCAGTTCAAATTTTTGTCATGTATCTTGGCACTTTTTTAGATCCTCCCAACTTTAGTAGCCTGTAAATATGCAAGTCTGGGGCCATGAACAGGAGGACTATGCTACACATTTTTTGACATCTTCTTCAGGTGGTCCAACAGAGTTTTCTTTGTTTAGTAGAGAATAGTTCATTGCTGAAGGTCAAATAAAGACTTTTGTGTCCCACCGCTTGTACATAGGCTTGTTTGTCAACAAAGATCAGCTGAAATGTGGGATCAGTGAAAAGCAGGATAGGAACCTAATTGAAATATTCATCTATCTTTTATTACTTGGTATTATTTTATTTTCAAACCTCTCATTATTTGACAGGACAAGTTGTTTTTTTAGTACTCATATAGCTCTTAGAACACTTGAGGAGCTATTCCCTTAAATCTTTCAAAAATAACATCTTCAGTGACAACTCAAGTATGGGAGATTTCAGCCCAGATAAGAAGTGTTTTGAAAACTTGCCAAATACATAAACAGAGAATATATAATGAATACCCTGTAACCGACATGCATATGATTGATGCCGTCCATGAATGAGTTACTTAAAGCTTATTTTTGTGCACTTAGCCCCCACAAACTGGACCACAGAATCCAGACTGTAGTTCCTGCTGTCGTGGTGACTTTGGAGTTCGACTCTACCAAGGGCCCCCAGGACCTCCTGGGCCCCCTGGGATGCCAGGTAAAGATGAAGGTTAATTCATTTCTTGATCAGTCTAATTATATGCAATAAATTACAGGCTATTCTATGAAATATCAGTGAGTGGTCCAAACATCAGTATTTGGGGATGGATTCAGGAACAAGTTTTTCTGTAATTTCTGGGGAGACACAGATTTTCAAGTAGACTCTAAAGTCTTTTCCAGTGAAAACCGATTCGTTATTAAAATTCAGCTTTCAAAAATCCATACTGAAAGTAATCTTATTACATTTCTAGGGCAAACTGGTCTCTCTTCTTAAAGGAGCATGAAGCTTCCATTAAAGTTGGAAGAACTTGTTCCCTGGAGCTGATTATTGTGATCACCTTTGAATATCCAGCTATGATATTGTATACTGTATTCAGGAGATTTTTTTCATCTAGCATACTGCTAGCCAATATTTAGAGAGATACAAATGCTTCTATTCTTTCATAGAACTTTCTTCTTTTCTTTCTTTCTTCTTGTCTTCCATAATAAAAAGTATAAAAAGTACTTTTTTTTTTTTTTTTTTTTTCCCCTTAAAAATGCACACAGAAGAACAGGATACACACAAAAAAGCTATACTTTGATCTGATAATTGGTGTGGAAAAATAAGAGTCCAGAGAAGGGAAAAAGGTAGTTAGTTTCATGTTGGTGTAAGTTTGCTACAGCAGCTACTTTCAGGGATTTGAAAATCACCGTTTTAAAGCAGATGTATAACGTAAATGAACATGACACTGACTGGCAGATTTGTCTCATCTTCAAAAGCTTACATCTTATGTTATGATGATAAAAATGCAATTTCATAATCCTTCTGTCTCACAAATGTACTGCCAGTAACAGACATGATAGATAACCATACACACACACACACACACACAAATGTAGTGATTTTTGGTAGAAACAGTTTAGAGTAACAGTTAAATCTGACTGTTATGAAGTTATATCTAAGTGAATGAAGTGTCTCAAGAACTAGCCTCAGTTAGCAAAATATTGAAATAAATTGTTACTTTGACATATTTGGGGTATTGGGCAAAATAAGGTCATAGGCATTTTTGGTGTTAGCCTGCTGTGATCTATTCATGCATCAACACTTTATAAAAATACCACTGACCATTACAGAAGTAAGAGAAATTTAATGGTGAGACCACTTATGCAAAAATATTGCACTACATATGGATAAACTGTTGTCTTCTTAGAAGCAGGACATGATTTTGTATTAGACCCACACTTTCAAGGCTGCAGTGGACATACTGGGCCACAGCCCTGTCCCAGCTTTGCCCTTTCCTCATGCGATGACATATCTCAGTCACACTTCCTTGTCACCACAGTATGCCACAAATGTATGGCCAACAGCAAGATTCTGCACCCTGGAATTTCTCTATCTTGTTCATCTGCTGCATTTCATATAATTGTGCCTGTAAGGGGAAAAGCTGCGTTTCCCTTGATTGAATCAAATGTCACTTGCAAACTTCTGTTCTGAACTGGTACAGAAGTAGTTCTGGCTTTACATGAAGGATAATTCTTGTTATTTTTGAGTTATTGATTTCTCTATCCAAACAAAAATTTGCTTAATTTCTTCTACCATTTAGCTTATTTGCTTGAAGTATTTTTTTTTTCTCAGTACAAAAACTCTGAAGAATCACTTTATTATTAGATTTGATCTTAGACAACACCATTCTTGTAAATTCGTAACCAGAGTCACTAATCAGAACAGAGTGTCAAATCCAATTTCAGTTCAGGTAGAATTAGAATAATGATGACACTAATTAGTCCCCTGAGTAATTAACGGAAAGGTCAGGCTTTTGTTTCAGGTAGGCATAATAATTGCTCAGTGATTCTAGCCAACTTTAAAATTTGCTCAGTCATTTCCTCAGAAAACATCAAGTAAGTAATACTGCAGATGTAGGAATATATTTTTATAATGACTCTTTTTACAAGAAGCTATCTCAGAAAAGCTTCATTATAAAAAAATTATCTTTCTTTAAATCTAGGAATATTCAATCAATCAACCCCTTCAAGCTAACCAGTACCTGAGAATGCACACTCTCCTGGTTGGCACAGATGGATCATTTAGACAGTTTAAGGCTACAGCCATTCTTTATTTGTGTATACATACCTTAAAAATAGAAAAATGCTATACAAAATTATCTTATCCTATTCTAATTAGGTCAGATTATCAGGAAATAAGTATTTACGCAAAATGAAAGGCAAGAGTACTTATGCAGGCTACCTGGTATATGTCCATAGGCAGTGGTTTTTGCTTTCCTTGAGCCTCACAATCACTGAGGTCTTGTTCTTGCATTTTTTTTTCCAACAATACAGTATGTTGAGACATCCACAGTTTATACAGCAACACCAAGATAGCATGAGGGTTAACTCTTAAACATCAGTCTATACCCTTCTGGAATCTTGCTCATCAAAACTTTCACCTTCATCTTAACCACACAGCTGTTTCTTATCCATCGCAGCTCAATCTGGCTTTTATGGTACTGAAAAGTCCATGTATTGCAAACTGGTGGAAAGGACTCTGTCACAACTATCTGTTAAAATATATTACATGAAATTATTTAAGTTAAACAGAAAGCTCTGTTTGCTTTAAGGAAATCATGGAAACAATGGAAATAATGGAGCAACTGGCCAGGAAGGAGCCAAAGGTGAGAAGGGAGACAAAGGAGATATGGGACCAAGGGGAGAGCGTGGCCATCATGGACCCAAAGGCGAGAAGGGCTACCCTGGGATTCCCCCAGAGCTACAGGTACAAAATCTCTGTCTTCTGTTGGCTGCAGCAGTTCTCAGGTTATGGTTTTCTTCTCTGAAAAACAGCATCTAACTACTGTAAGATACTTAAGAAGCAAATCCCCCTGTAAATTAATACAGTGAGAGACATATATAGTCCTTGTCGTAACTGACAAAGGTGTTCTGCCAGATCTTCACAGACAAGAAAGACATCAGGGGTTAGTCTTTCTTTAGAGTAAGAATCCAGCTGAGAAATGGGCAGGAAGAAACTTCTTTGGTTCCCTTTTAGGGCAGAAAGCCAGTATCTGTGTCATTAAAGGAGAATAGTGGGGACTATAATTTTTCTATGAAGTTGTATCACATACATAACTACACTTCCTATGGCATATGAAAAGAGTAGAGGAGCCTCTCAGGCCTGTTCTTCTCAGGTCAGTCAGGCTTTGTGAGATTCTCAGAAGCATATGTATCCAACTTCTCACAGTATCGGGTCAAAACCTCCAAGTTCTGACATAAGTCCTCTGGTTTTTTTAAAAATACCCCTCAGTAGCCATGGTTTTATATGTTTAGATACCTTAAATATTTTGAAAAGCATGTCGGTTCCGCCTATGAATGAACTACCCAAAGGCCATATGAGCATTAAAACCTGGGTTCAAGCCTGAGCTGATAAGCTCTGTTGAGGGATGTGCTAAACTTGTTTGGGCTCAGAGCTGTGTTGGAATAGTTGCATAGCCTTTGGATTAGAGCTTCTTCATGTCCCAGCAATCTGGAAGGTGGCAGAGAGGTAATGTATATATGTATGTACCTTGAATATGGTGGAGAAGTAGTGTAGTCCTGTTCTTAAGGCAACGAAAAGTAAGTGGGACTTGAATAACTAAGACCCTTGGTTGCTGTTCCAAAAGGAGTTTAAGAGTGTTGTTCACACTGTATACTGCAGTGTAGCAATACATGAACAGTTCACCTGGAATAGCAGGAAAACTTTACTATCTCTGTGATGTAGCACAGCTAAGGCAAGCCTTTGAGATGTATCCCTCCTGGTCTCCAGCTGCCACCGTGAAAGGGGCTTCTGTAGGTCAGATCAGCCAGCCCCATGTTGGGGAATCCAAGAGTATTTCAGGTGGCACTAGATGCATTTGCGTGGGCAAGTGACTGTGGTCAGGTTCAGCTCCAGAAAGCCTACATGTGAGGGAAGCACCTAAGCTCCCACCTAGAAGAGCAACTCAGCTTAATCTGGTAGTCACTGCTGCTTCTGGGTAAATGGGACTTCAGACACCACAGAATATATAGATCCCCAGAAACTATAAGGGAGTTGACATCCTCAATCGTGTGTACACATTTTAATGGCTTGATCTGATTTGTAACCCCCAAACCAAGTCCATCACAAAAGGGACAAAATGGGATATAGCAAACACACACAGAAAGAAATCCCACTTCCACTCTATGTGGAAAACTGAAGATCTGATCTATTTACAGATCTACACCTTTTAACTGAAGGATAGTGTTTCCAAATAAGTCATTCATATATGTTTCATATCCTCATAAAAGGCATGCAAATTAACAGCAAAATCAACAGTACAACCAATGCATGCAGTGTGGGAAAATGGCTTTGGATTTCTTGGCACTGTGTATGTTTGAATTCTCCATCCTATGTTGCATGAAGATGGAATAACTGCAGACAATATAATTCACAACGAAAATGGTTTCCAAAATTACTGAACCTTTGTAATGAAATAGAATTATTTTAGCGTTCTCAAAGAATTAACTGGAATTAACATTATGGTTGAATATCTTAAAAACATACTTGTAATTACAGTCAACATAAATACTTTTGCAATTTTAAAATTAACTATCAGCATTTTTTTCTTACATAAATATAGTGGTAGTAATTTAATTAAAAACTGAATAATGAAAGAGCATGAATAACAAAAGCTCATATTGCAATACCTATTTCCAAGTAAAATTCCATCACCCTTTTTAACAGATGTGTTTTAAAATTCTTTACACCATATAGCATATAATTTCTTGTTAGCATCATGCTTAAGAGTTTTAGAATGGGGGTAAGTAGAGGGGAAAACACTTTTGAATATAATACTGTTTTAAGCACAGGATTATTTTGAGAGGCTTGGTGTGTCCATGTTGATCTGCTACTTCAAAATGAAACCTAGGGAGAAAAGACATCATTTTCAACTCTTCTGATCAGCCCAAGAAAAGTAGGTTGGGGCCAAAGAGAATGTGAAATGGAATCTAGACAAAAAGCAATAAATTCCATCAAGCTGCCATTGCAGCTGCTTTCTTTTAACACATGATGAACTTTGATGTGATCCTGGCTGAGAAGCAAGAAGTTAACAATTTGCCATCATAGAAAATGCATTCATGCAGGGATAAGGAAAATCAGCCCAAGCTTTCAGCTCACATCTGGAGCTCCTCAAATTTCTGAGCAGATGGCTAATGAATTCCATTGTTGGATCCAGACTTGCATTGATTTTGCCTGTTTTGGTTTTGTTCTCATCTGGATCTGAAATCAAAAGAACTCTGGGGTGTTTTTTTTAAATACCAGTATAACTGGAATCTCATGAAAAATGTTATTTTTTGTGAGGGGCAGTAACAACTGTAATTGAACACCTCATCTAAAAAGTTAAGGCAGAGTTAAAATGCCAAGTCACTATGTGACCTTCTGGCATTCAGGTACAGCAATTCTGCCTGAACCCTGTTTATTGACAGTCAGATGGGGGGATCACAGCCTCACAGAAGAGATAACTCCCTTTCCTGCCCATGCAAGTTGACAGGGTTGTTCCCTGCTATCTTCCTGATGGTAATTTGGATTGTCCAATGTGGGACATTTTGCACTGCTTTCTATGCAACATCTTCCACGGCCCACATGTCTCACTGCAAGAAGTGTAACATGAAGCTGAAGCACAGTTTTCACTTTCCTAGTTTCCTCTTTTGGTCTCCACCACACTCTGTTGTGACTGAGGGTACAGTCTGGTAAGAGAGGAAGCAACTGGTAAGAGAGAAAAAGCACTGAATGTTGAGTCCCAGAAACTGCATTTCTAGAGGACCTCTAATAAAAATGCTTAATCTATCTCTGAAAATAGTTAAGAAGAAACACTAATGCTTATGGATTTTACCAAGCATTATTTATTTCACACATTCAGTTAAAGGCAATATCCAGTCTAAATGCATTGGGGAATACATAAAAACTAATTAAATCACTTTTATCAGAAACACCATCCATTTCAGTACTAGTTTTCTGTTGCATCATTCTAAAGAGACTTTAAATAAAATCCTAAATGCAGGTTCTGACCTGCAAACACTTGCCCATACACTTACCTTTACAGTCATGAATAGCCCAATTGAATGTAAGAAGCCTAGTCCTCTTCCAGTTTCATTCAATGGGAGTTTTGTTGCTGGAATTTAATGGCCTTGGAACAGGCCCTAGAAGAACATCTCTGTCAGGAAAATAAACAGACTGCAAATACAGGAAAAAAATCTGTAACTGCTTCCTCTACACATATGCATTTCGTGAACAACTGTCTGAATAAGAACTGCATTTCTGTAGGTTGCATTCATGGCTTCCATGGCTACTCACTTCAGCAACCAGAACAGTGGGATCATCTTCAGTAGTGTCGAAACCAACGTTGGGAACTTTTTTGATGTCATGACTGGGAGATTTGGTGCTCCAGTGAATGGTGAGTGTTTGCAAAATAAAATAATGCAATTCTGGGAGCTATTGGGAGAAGCATGGTCAATAATGATGTGAAACTAGTTAACTGCCGTTGCACAAGGCACTGATAAGACTTATTCTGCATAGCTCTTGCTACCTACTTTCAGGAAAAATGAAACTGGAAACTGAGCAAGCCAAGAGAGGGCTTGCCAGACAGTGAGACTAGTGCTGGCACAAAGGCAAGAGGAAGAAGCATGGCTAGAGCTGTTGAGGGAGCAGGACTGTCTGCTTGGAGACCTTTAGCCCTTCTGCCACTGTGATGAGGTAACCATGGTCTTGATGTTGCAGCAGCAGCAGCTTCACAGCTGCCCCCTGCCTCCACTCATCCTCTTCATCCCCATCTTCCCCCATTCCAGTTCAGCTGTGAGCTGGCCGGCAACAGACGTGTGGCCAGAAATGAGGCATTACAGTTTTTCCTGAGTTATTTTTCAGCTGCACCAATACCCCAGCTTATGCAGCGGTGGTGCAGAAAGAAAGACAGGGGAGGCAGGGCCATAACCAAAAACATGTTGTCATGATTTAAGCCCAGATGGCAACAAAAGCACCAGGCAGCCGCTCTCTCACCCTCACCACCACAAGAATTGGGAGGGGAACAAAGGAAACAGTAAAATCCTGTGGGCTGAGATAAGGAGAGTTTAACAGAACAACACAAGAAGAGAAGAAAATGAGAGCAGTGACAATACTAAGAAACAGAACCTATAAATCGAACGATACACAATGCAATTTCTCACCAGCCAGTGCCCCAGCTCAGCCCCTTCCCCAGCTGGGATCACCCCCCACCCCCAGGCAGCTCCTCCAGTTGTATACTGGGCATGAGGTCAGCGTGGTGTCCCATATCCCCTTGGCTGGTTTGGGTCACCTGTCCTGGCTGTGCCCCCTTGCAGCTCCTTGTGAAAATTAACCTTATCCTAACCGAAACCAGGATGCGTGTCTAAGCAAAGTCTGAAAACACTTTCCTTCACTTGGCCTTTCTCACCCTGCTATTAATTTCCTCACTGCTATGGGAAAAGAGATTAAATAAAGGTCAGGCCCTCCAAGCTTGCTGTAGCACATCTTACTGGCAATTAGGAGTGTATGTCCTCAGAGCTATTTCCTTTTGAGGTTAATGTGTATGTGGTTGTCAATAATCTTTGGTCCACAATGACTCAATGACTTTGAAGCAAACTGCAAGCTCCCACTGAAGGTCAGTGCTACAGATTTACTGTTCAGGAACCAGGAGCTTGTCTTCCTGCCTGGGTCAGTCTTGTAGACACGTAATGCGGTCACACTGACAACACTGTTGGCACCTTTCAGACAGAGAAAGAGCTAAAAAGAAAACGGGTAATGGTAAGGGTGTGTTGTGCAAGAAGAGAAAGTGGTGGCTATGTCTGCATTGTTCAGGATGCTGTATGGTCAGGTGAGCAGCAGTGGGTGCTGCTGAAGCCACTCATGCCCTGCCTGACCCAGGCAATGTGCTGGCTGCCTGACAGCCTCTGAGGCTGAGACCTGGCTGGCCTGCAGGCTGCCCTTTTGGGAGAGGGCAGGAGCAAGAAGGTAAGGAAAAAAGGGTGAGAGAAGGGTCATCAGACTCATCTTCCGGGAAATCTCCCTTTCAGTGAGAAGGAAGGGATGAGCATTCCTGCCATGTTCAAATACAGTCATTTCTCTGGAACAGGAGGTATCTGAACCTCTGCCATATGCAGAATAAAAATGAATCAGGCTTTGGCACACTATAAGCAGAAGTAAAATAGCCACTGACAACTGGAGCGCAATTTTGGCCTCAGCTGTTATGTTTTCTAAGCAAGAAGCAGAAGTCTGTAGCATGACTACCTCCATCTATGAAGCGAATACATTGTTTTTTGTAATCTTTTCAGGAGTGTACTTCTTCACCTTCAATATGATGAAACATGAAGATGTGGAGGAAGTGTATGTGTACCTGATGCATAATGGTAATACAGTTTTCAGCTTATATAGGTAAGTGAAGGGCCAGGTCATTTTAATGCAAAAGACATACTTGCACAGATGTGATAGCTTGCTCACATTTCAAGAAAGATGAAATTGCTCATTTTTTTGAAGAAATTCTGTAAGGTAACCAGCAGAGAATTGTATTTTGCCCTCTTCAACTTGCAAATCTGGATCATAGCTGCCACAGATCCTGCACCTAAAATTCAGCCTTGATCACAAGTTCCTCAAAGCTCAGGGGAAAGGATTTAGCACTGCAAGTCAGGGTTGGAGTCCAGTGGCAACATGTTGACATTTTCCTAAAATATATTTTTATCCTCATTTTGCCTGTCAGAGAAAAGGCATAATGAAGTGTTCAGCAACCAGTTACAGTCTTGTTGAAGAATAGGGGAGAGCACTTAATTTTAAAGGTGGAAAGCATTTAAAATGCAGTAGTAAGGATAAATAAGAAGTAAAGGTCCTCTATTTACAGATTTCATTATCACTAGCACACTGAATAAAATGTTTCTGAACCCTTTATGTTAGCTGGAGGATCACCAAGAACGAGATCCACTTCTCATTTATCATCTTCTGTAAGGACTAGGTCAAGAAGATTGTAGACAGATAGATATCTGAAAAACATATGTGTTTGAAGAAAATATTATTTCTTTAATACCAATCAGGGGTCTGATGACAAAACCAAGCTTCTCTCCTGAGCCTGAATAAACAAACACAAATGCTTAGATTGATCATACTGGATTTTAAGCACTTAGATGATAGTAGGTTCATTTAAGCTGTCCAGGTTTCTTCAACAGCCTGTACCTGAAGCACCACCAAAGGGTACTTCATCCCTGATAGATTTTTCCTGCAAAAGAAGAAGTGCCCATTTTTTTTTCCCCTGAAGCATTGATGGCAGAAAAGTCAACAGGTAGAAAAAAGGGAACCAACATTCATGCAAAGCCAGCAGGTTAGCCCACATCAAACATATCTTTATCCTATGAAAGGATGGAGTGAGTTGCCTGTCACTGCCCACTGACTGTGCTGGGAGCAGAAGGGCTCAGCTCATATGAGACTCCTGACCTGGAGGCATTTAAAACTATCTGGCATGAATCCAAGAGAAAAGGAGCTTCACAGGAAACCTGGAGTATTGCGATGAATAAGCAGAATTTGACTTTAAACAACAGACTTATTCCTGTGCTCTGGAAAAAAATATGTAAATTAAACTTCCAGAATTTCAGAAAGGAATGAAATGATGCAACTAGGTAAGCTACAAAATTTGACAAGGAGATCAAATGCAGAAAAATGTTAGAATTTCCTCATAAAGCTTTCATGGATTCTTTTTTTTTTTTTTTTTTTTTGGTAAGTTGTTTGCTTGATCATTGTTGAAAACCAAAAAGTTGACTTGTTAAAATATTCATCCTTAGCTATGAATCAAAAGGCAAAGCAGACACTTCAGGAAACAGTGCAGTCCTAAAACTTGCCAAGGGAGATGAAGTTTGGCTGCGAATGGGAAATGGAGCCCTGCATGGGGACCATCAACGCTTCTCCACCTTTGCTGGGTTTCTTCTTTTTGAAACCAAGTAAAAAAAAGAAACAACCCAATAGATGTTTATCTGAGGAAACTTCTTCTTTGGAACTGGTATTTTTCTCTGGACTGGGAAGTAGCATTACAACACTGAAAGGTCAAGAAGGCTTGTTTTGATGCAATGTGTTGCTCTTTGTGTATCAGAGATGAGCTGAATACATTGGGTAGATTCACAGAAGATATATTGTCATCTGGGTTGTATCTAGTAAATCATTAAATGTTGCTCTTGTTCTCTTCTCCAAAGTAATTGAAAAACAAAGGAAAAAGAGTTTAAATAATTTAGAGAGCAGTTTACACAGTAAAGTACATTGTATCTGTAAACATACTTTAGTTAAGTATATGTCAGGAATTGAACAATTGAGTCAAGTTTTTCTGTTCATTTATTCAGTTCTTATTACATGTGCATTTAAGTTTGCATCATGAAAACAGGCCTGAATGAATTCTAAGTAGGCTCAGCTGAGACCAGGTTTAAAGGAAGATGTTTTTACTGGACTAGAATGAACTTTATAAATAGAAGAAAAAAATGTGAAAATAAAGATGCCAAGGATTCAGGTTTATTGCATTCCCATCTTAAACCTCTGAAAATGCATAATTTTTCATAGATTTTTAGTACATAGTTATGCTCACTCTCTCTTTCTTAGAAAAAGTGTGGTAGTAATTCTTGCCTTAGTAGCAGCTTGAAGGTAAGGTATTTCAGCCTGCAGTGTGCAGGGGATCAGACAGGGGAACTCTAATGTTTCTTCCCAGCCTTCAAATTGTTAAAACCTGATGTAACTAAATGCAGGGTGTCAAAGCAGAGGCATATATGCTGGAAAAGCTGGGATATGCTAACAGCACAAACATAGCAACACACCTTTTGTGGAGCTTGGATCTCTTTTAGAAGGATGTACCTTTTAATATTTCATATTTACTCAACAGTGAAGTTGTTGATACAGTTTTCCTAGCAGACTTCCAAGAACTAGTATTTCAGGAACAGACATTGCAGCTTGGCAAAGCAGCAGCTAACTCTGCTCAATATTTAAACAAATGCAAATACTGGCTGGCTCAAAAGCTCTGGTCACGGTAAACTGGGCCATTCTTCAGCATTAATATTTGCCACCAGTTTTTCAAAATTTGGGTATGTGAAATCCTTTCTTACTATTTTCTTTTCATAATAATCAGCACCAAATATACTAAGACAGTACTGAAGTTTGAATGTATCTTCTGCACAATCTGGCTCTCCACATACAAGCTAATGAAATATAAATTACATTTTGACAGACATTACATTTTAACCAGACATTACCTGTTATGCATAACAGACAGGTGGGGTTAAGAAAACATATATTTGCAATTCTTTTATATTCGATGCAGGTATCAGTAGTATGACAACAGAGCAACCAAGTCAAAATCTGCCCTATGAATTTGTTTGTCATTGTACGTGTTCCTAGTGTATGTAAGCCACATCTTATGATGAAAAATGCATGTTGATACTTGATGATTATGACTCGGATTTCTTAGTTTTATGCATCAACCACTGAAAATATTAGCTTTAATGGACTGTCATCCAATGAGTTTTATTGTTTCTTTGCTAACTTTGTGGATCGGGCAGGTATGTGGGTCAGGTTTGTACCACATAGTTTTTCAAACCCTGGGACCATGTTATTTTAATAAGAATTTTAGTAAAATTTTGACATGCCTTCAAACTAAAACCTACCCACCAGGTAATCAGATAAAATTATACTTCTGGAATCAGTGCACAAGTTGTATGAGATATAAGGCATCATGAGCTAATGTTCATAGTGGGAAAAATCTTGAAAAAATTATTTCCTGTTGTGTTAAGACTCTTTACTTACTTTATAAAACATACATTTACCCAATAAAGATGAATAGACATAAAACTATACTGGTTTGTTCATATATATATTTACAAAGGACCTTATCATTTGGAGACTATGGGGATATATTCTTAATATGTATTTCCTAAGCATTCATTTTGCTACTGAATGTGAGAAAGCCAGCACTAAGGGTCAAAATATATTTATTTTACATGTGCTTATATATATATATATATATACACACACACACATATAAAATTTAAATCCCTAAAGTTTCCTTTGGGGACTTAATTTTCCTTTATGGCATGGCCATTTTTTAAATCCATTTTGGTCAGAATAAAGCACTTAGAAACTATAATACATATACTCATCTTAAGTTCCTCTACATTATTTCTTGTAATGGCCGTGATATAAAAGGAAGCCGAGTTTTGTCATTCTCATTTTATGCTGTTTTCACAAGTTTTGCGCAACTTCGCCTGTTAAGAGCAGAAAGCAACTAAGAATGACCACAAAGGCTTCTGACAATTAAACAGCATCATGGTCTCAGTTCTGAGGTTAAAGCTAAGATGTTTTTTACGTTAAGGTTGAAACTTTCTAGTTTTTGTATGGAATCTCTACAGTCTTTTCTCTGCAAAGATATTGCATGCAATCTCTGCTGACTGAGTGTTGTAATTCTTAACAAATAAATTGTTAATTTACGTATTAATTTCAAAGATCCTTCAAAATACAGCAACTGATGTAAAAATCTCTGTCTGTGTGTGTTTTTACTCCTCAGAATTATCAAGTTTTATATTCAGTAAGTCATGTGGAATGTATGGGTTTTTTCTCAGAAATGTTTATGAAAATTAGTCATCTTTCCATTGCTGCTGATAAATGAAAGCCTCTTGCTTAGCAGATGCTCAAGACAAAACATCTTCTGCCAGAGACATTTGTCCTCTGTTATAAAATAGGTGGTATCTTGTAATTTGTGTTACGAGTGATAAACCTTCTGGAAACACAAAAGCTGCAATTTGGAGTATATTTAATGGCTTCTTGTCTTTGCTAAGCCCAATCTATACCTCTCTTTGTCCCACTTCATGAGCTCCCAAATTTAACCAAAACTTTGCAAGAGTTGCAAGCCCCTGCCTGCCACCAGAACTGTGGTTTGGTAGGCGATATCCTGCCTCCGTGGTAGAAGCTGGCATCCTAGCAGGAGAAAACACTGCCCCACATCGAGACAAGTTGAGTTCTGCTCTGTGAGAAACAGCAGCCCCCACTCTTGGCCCTCACGTCCCCCGAGACCCAGGACTGCTGTCCTTCCCCATGACATCCTTGCCAGGTAGCATCTCTCATCTCCAGCTTTGTTAGGAGCGTTAAGGACTGCATTTTGCAAAATGGGTCTGTGTGACACTTGGGAGGTGATGACTGGACCCCCTTGGCAGAGGTAAAACACAACTTCTGTGTGAGAAAAACATAAACATAAACTAAAATGAAACCTAGCCAAAGGAAAACATCTTAGGTCTGGGTCCTGGTTTCATGAGTGGTATTTAAAGAAAGCACAAAGCAGCTCAGTTTAATTAGAAATCCTTGAGAAAAAAAATCTATCTGTGGTTTTAATTTCAGAGGCTAGTCCATGGCCTCAGAGTGACTGAGTTGATCCTGAGGAAGCAATTTAGACTGACAACAGTTTGCATCCTCAGTCTCACTGAAAACCTTGTAAGCCAAAGGGAGGTCTTTAAATAGAGTGTAAGTTTTCTAAAGGGAAAATAAGGAAAACACTCTTCACTCAGATCTTTCAACTTCCCCATGAAATTTTGCATTGAGTTTCCTACATTACACCCTACTTTTTATTAAAACTGTTTTTCTCCTACTTATCTCACATTATTAAAATGATGTTTTCTGCTCAGAACCCAAAAAAATGACATAAGGACAAAACATGCAGGGAGCTGACAAGTGGTGCGTGAAAAGGCTCACAGTTCTTCATTTTGGTGAATCAGTAGCAAAATTTATCTATCTATTTTGCAGTTAATTCTGCTTCAGCAACCAAAGGAAATAAAAACCGTCAGTGATCAGCTCAGATTTAAAAACCTGAGGCAGCAAAAGGAATTATGCAAAGCAGTGTTCCAGGCTGCATGTCATACTTGGATTCCAATGAAGAAAGACGCAAACTCCAGAAACTATCTTCATAAATTAAAAGACCTTAATAAAATGTGCACTTCTTAGTATGACCAAGTCCCTTCTTACACCAAAGAGCAGCAGCTCCTATAGTCTTTGGGCCAAACCACACAGTCATAGCAGTAGTTAGAGCATCTGCAGTGCCATGTTAATTTTCATTATCAAAGAGTTTCCTTGAGGGAATTACACAGCAGAGGGAAGTTGCAGCAGAGGAGAGCCATGCTTCCCTAGCCTGATCCCCCTGCTCTGTGGTTAAATTGATAATAAAAACCAAAACGGTGCTAGAGTCTATTATCTGGCCCAGAGTTATTACCTGACTATGTTAAAGCTAATTAAACTCTCAGCCTCGGTAGCAGTGTGTCTGTTTGCAAAACAGTCTGTTGGGACCAGTCCCTGGCTTGCACTAACTTTCAAGTAGTACTGACGAAAAGTTTCAGAGATTGCTCCTTGTCATGGGCTAAAGGCATTTGCAGGACCATTCGCCTAACACTGGGAGAGGCTCAATATTGTGTATCTGCATTTGAAATGGGGCATGGCATCCTCCATGCATACATTCACAGAATAATAAAACCCATGTGGTGCAAGGTTTTATTAAACAAAGAGACTTCTTGTGTTAACTGGTGAAAAATTGTACAAATGGAGTTTTATTCTACTGTTTTTCTCAAAACAATCCAGCAGACAAGAGAAATTCCACAAAAATAAGTGTTTTAAAAGGATCACATTGTTACAACACCAAGAATGGAAATACCCATGTTAAAATCATCTTTGTCAACTTAGATTCTGTTTCCTGTGAATGTGTCTCATCATCTACACCTTGGCCTCATCCAGAAGCCATTATATGATGCTTGTTGAATAAGTCATAGCCCATATACTGGAATGTGATAGCTAGAGATGAATATAGAACAGCTTAATTCAGTAACTTCATCCGAATGAAGAACCGTTACTACAGAAAATAGAGCATACTAATACGTAAGAAAGAACAGTGGAATTAAATTCACAGCAGCAACCATAATTTGACCTTGTTCTCAGTTTTTAAGAGATTAATTCTTCAATCTCGTCAATTCTTTGAAAGTAAAAGCACTCCACACGCTCACGGCATAGTAAAGTTGATGAGAGTCAATGAAGCCTGTAAGGTCTGGAACTTCAGGCCAGGAGATGGGAATTCAGAGTTTGTGCCATTCTGTCATGTGAAAAGTCCAGGTCTGCAGCTGAAAGTGCAACATGGAATTTTGTATCCTGTTCATCTTTTAAACTAGAAAAGAGTATGATTGTTTTGTATAAAATCTTTCAGATACTGCATCACTTCAGATTAATGCTTTTTTCCCTCCGAGACTACCTGCTTCTCATAATGGTCCGTGTTTACTTTCTCACATTACCAAAGGCACACAAAATAAACAACGTGAATTAGGTATGCCACAGCTAAGGTGCAAATAAACAGCTCATGGGCAAGGCAATGGAAACAGTTCATGAAAACAAAGGCTTATCAATCCAATGCACTATCAGTGCAGGTGAAATTGTCTTTAATGAATGCAGCAGACAACACTATGCAGCAGGTGTGGCTCACTGGAAGTAAGTTTAGGGCAGGATGGCCAAGCAGTAGTACATGTGGTGCCCAGCACAGAGCTGAAGCTTAGTATCCAGGCAAACAAAATCTGGGAATAACCCTCGTCTAGAGTTTCCAGTCCCTACCAATAGTGGTTAATAAGAAATGTGCAGGAAAATATTTACTTTCTACTGATTACCCTGAATGAAGATTAGCTATATAAAGCTACCTGCAAGTCTCTTCATCTAAATCATGAAAGCACAGTAATACCATAAACTGTGACTGAAAGGAGTTAAAAGATGAGTATTTTGGTTCGGGTACAAGGGTAAATGACCAAAGTACAGGAGTCACTATCACAGGCATCAGTAATTTGTTCTACTTTAATAGAGTGTTAGGGGGCAAATTTCTGACACTGTGAAAGTTAATGGCAAAGCCTGTTTACTTCAACAAGGCCAGACCATCACCCCAGTGACTGACTGGACTACACAACACACGAAGAGTAGTTTTTCCAAGATGTGTAGATTTTAATCAAGTAGCACAAGGAAGCTTATGCAATTACTTTGTGCAGATGAGACTGAGATTTCATTATCTATAGTTCAAGCTATAATTCATAATCTCAGATAGACAGAGCCAGATTCTCAAGCGGCATGAAATCACAGCTACTTTAGAGGGATGTATTGATCTCACTTTGATTACATTCACTTTGACGCTTTTGCTGGTGTGTGGTGGGATGTACACTGAAGAGAGTAAGCAATAATACGTGAATTCACACAGAAGCAGAGAAACACAGAAAGGCAAAGAGATGCTCCAAGCTGAAGAACCAATTAAGCTATTAAGCTGCTGCATTTGACAAGCGTGTTGTATGAAAGACAGTGTGTCACAACACTATGCAATATGAGGTCAGAAATGTGGAGCATCACCTACACTGCCTTTGTGGATATCAAGAAGTGTTATGAGTGGAGCATAGCTTCTATTCAGGCAAGACATAAATGCAGGCTTTGGGATAAACCTCACATGCCTGAAAGCTTTGATAAACTTGGGACACAAAAATACTTCCATAAATTTCATGACTATCTTTAAAGTTCTCAGATGCAGATAAATGCAGAAATATTTGAAGAGACTAGAGAAGTTTCACCCTAAGTAGTGGCTTTCATCTTTAGGCAATTATAATTATCAAGAAGTGAGATATTATAACAGATGTGAGAAATTATTGCTTTTTCATTTAACAAAACCAATACAAACTGTACTGATACCAGTATTGCTTTAGCCATTTATTAAGATGGACTAACTTGTAAACAATATCCATGAGAAAGGGAAGAATCAAGGGTTTGTGTACAGCTATAACTTCACATTCCTCCACTGGTAGTTTTCCAAAGGACTGAGAAGCAAGAATAATTATAAACAACAAATCTGATACAAATTGTAAGATTTGTATCAGATTTGTTGTTTATATTTGTATCAAAAAGTCTGGCAAGCAGTGTAGCCAGTCTGTATCACAGAATTGCCTGCGCCTCTACAAGAAATGTTGATGTAACACACAGTATATATAATTTCATCTTTTTTAACACTGTGAAATCCACTAATTTCAGTATAGGAACTGTATACATTTTACAGGATAACAGAGATAGCAACTCACTGACGTACTTCAGTAAAGCTCACAAAAGCAGTCTGACAAGGTGTGAAACTCAACTGAGTGTCCTGTCACCCACACTGAGGTTTTAATCTCCAAACAATCTCCTTTCCTATACCCATTGCCCCTGCAGTGCTGAATTCATACAGCCACCTACTTGCTGCTGCGTATTAATGATGCATATTAAATGGTATTGCATAGATAAGCACTGCATCTCTTGGTTAATTATAATATCTGTTTCTCTCTCATGACTGTTTATTTCTTAGTTTTGTAAAATCCAATCTTTCAAAGTGGATTTAATGTTCATAAAATGGTCCCCTCGCCTCC